CAACTGAGTTTAGAACTGTATTAGATCCCTATTAATTTAACAGAAATAGCTACGTGGCGGGGGAGGGTGGTGGAGAATGAATCAGGAGTTTGGAAAATTAATCGTTTTGAGTTTTTTCTTTTTTTTTAGGGTGGTTTATACTAGATTTTAATTTGTTTCAGAGATCCTGGTTGTTATTTGCAGCCATGGAAATGTTTGCAGTACTTTTGCAAATACCCACACAGTCTATAAATAGAGAGAGTAAAAAACATTTTTCAGACATATGGTTAACTTTTGGTGAATAAGAAGCACAGGGACCCTGATTCAAGAATGAAACTTAGAGAATATTTTGCTAACATTAATTTTGACATCTCTATTATGGAAGGAGTTTTATAGTTTGGCAGGTCATGTAGAGTAAGCTTCATGATAACATAAATCGTTGACCTGTATGCTGTGAAAGGCTGTTTATAGGCCTAAAAAGTAGGCCAAATAACTTTTTTTACCGTTAAATTTCTATCGTGAAAGGCTGTTTATAAGCCTAAAAATTAGGTCGAAATACACTTTTTACCATTTTAGTTTGTCCGAGTGGATTGTGATTTGTTTAGCTTGATGAATTCATTTAAATTTCCAGAGGTAAAACAGTTCGTGTTTGGAATGTCCTCAAATAAAATTAACAGTTTGTGAAAGTTCCAAAGATTTGCCGAACCTGTTTTATAGTCAACACTAATTTTTAAATTAGTCTTATTTTTACTACGCGGACCCTTAGCGTATAAGTTACAGTACTGAGAGAAAGGATACATAGAACATTTAAATTGTCTGTATGTCTTTTTTTTTAGGTATTGTAATTTAGATGTTGTTTTCAATAATTTTTAATTTTTGAGACTGAGAATTGTATACATTATCAATATATACAATAGTTTCAGCTAGATAGTGAGGATGGTCTACAAAGTTTGTTTCAAAGAATTTAATTATGATTTACAAAGTTATCGATTTAATGAAAAATACAGATAAAAATTTGTTTTTTTGCATGGTATTTTAAAGACTTATTAAAGATAGGTTTGAAGGTTTCGGCCTTTCCTTATAGGTATGGTAGTTGTCATGAATGTGGTAACATAATTTGTTTTGCCGAATCATTTCTATTATAAATATTTAGTCGTCATGAGTAATTTGTATTGCAAAGACAACTTTTGGTTTAGGCATGATGGTAGAGTAATGGTTATTGCAAAAACCATTTTTGCTATAGATATAATAGTAGTCATGAATGATGGTAGAGTATTTTGTATTGAACGAGCTCTTTTGTTGAAATTTTTAATAAACTTTCGAAAACATTCTGAATCAGTATTTGAATTAAAAGCAGAACAAACATTGTTCAAGTTTTCTTTTTTTTGAAGTGTCTTAGATAATTTTGGATAATATTCCAAAGATTGTTGATACTTTTCTTCATCTAAGGGTCTCTAGTGTCCTTGTAGAGTTTACTTAGTTTTGTACGTTCTTTGTTCTTATATATATATATATATTGGTTTACAACAAGCTTTTGAGGGCTGACAGGTTTAATGAGACATTCAGAGATTGGGTTTCAGTAATTAACTTTATCGTTTCGGTTTACAACATAAGTAATAACATTGTCAGATAGATTTTTATTCGACTTCATTTTTGAAACATCCCAAACATGGTTTTTGGAATTATAATTTGGAGAGAATATCACTCGTTTAGGTTGGAGAGTTAGTCCTGTAAAATAATAAAATAAAAAAAAAACCGAGGCCTTTACACCAGAGGGAATCGTGGTAACCAGGGTCATGCATGCCTTTGTTGGTAGTCTCTCGTTGATATTTACCACCTGTATGATCGAACTGCCGTTACAGTGTTCTCATAATGCTCAAAGATTTACATCATGTAGCCTAATTTGTTTCTGTGTCCCCTTGCTGGCTTGATAATAATTCGGTTTTTGAGCTCTGTACCTTTTTGTGACCAATAGCTGTATTCTTTATTTCTCCTGTAGCAATTTTTCTATATTAAATCTAATTGTCTTTTCCTTCATTTTTCTTTTATCTCCCTCAAAAGTATAGCTACTTTTGTTTCCTTCTCAATATGGTGATATATAATTCAGTCTGTGCATATAACTTCAATAATATTCAATGTTACCTCAGTTATAACATTTTACTATATATCTATACACATCTTCTAGCTTTCTGTTGATTATATTTATTGGTGCTCATATTTTGTATGAGTGCAGAAGGTTTTCTTATAATTATAACTAATACAATAGTTATAGCACTCTATTGCCTGTAACATTCTATTATCTATACTGTACCGATGTTGTTATCAGTTTCCATCAGAGTTATTAACACATCTTTTATTATTTATACTGTACTGATGTTGTTGTCAGCTTCTATCTTTAGTTGTTAACATATTGTTACGTCTCCGTTCGTTAGTTGATTTTCCGTAACTTCGTTCCGACGAAACTTTAGCGACCCAAGTCCTTACTTAATAAAACTGGTTTATTCTTTCCGAATACAACTTTACGATACACTTAATTTCAACAGTCGCGCTATAATAAACGCTATAT